AAATCATTTGGCCGGTCTTGAAATCTAATAAACATAAGAGTTACCCGCCAGCGGATAGGAAGGTCGTGGGTTCGGTTGCCGACTGAGCCGGTCGTTTTTCAAAAATGAACTTGGTTCCCAGGTCGCCCCAGCCTTAAGTGGGTACCAGTTGTAGTCCTGGGAAGTAGATTGCCGAATAGTCTACAAAATATAGGTTTAGCCCTGTATGCCCAAACGCCTGAAGGTGTGGAAAGGGTCTTTTACTTTTTAAAGATTTACCACGCCCACTCTCCCTCACGCCCACCCTCATCAAAGCCTACTATTTTATTTTCTTTCAATATTAATTTAAATTAGGCGAATCGTCAAACAAAATCAGTTGTCGTCGGCGTAACACGCCCACTCTCCCTCACGCCCACCCTCATCAAAGCCTACTATTTTATTTTCTTTCAACATTAATTTAAATTAGGCGAATCGTCAAACAAAATCAGTTGTCGTCGGCGTAACACGCCCACTCTCCCTCACGCCCACCCTCATCAAAGCCTACTATTTTATTTTCTTTCAACATTAATTTAAATTAGGCGAATCGTCGAACAAAATCAGTTGTCGTCGGCGTAACACACCCACTCTCCCTCACGCCCACCCTCATCAAAGCCTACTATTTTATTTTCTTTCAACATTAATTTAAATTAGGCGAATCGTCAAACAAAATCAGTTGTCGTCGGCGTAACACGCCCACTCTCCCTCACGCCCACCCTCATCAAAGCCTACTATTTTATTTTCTTTCAACATTAATTTAAATTAGGCGAATCGTCATCAGTTGTCGTCGGCGTAACACGCCCACTCTCCCTCACGCCCACCCTCATCAAAGCCTACTATTTTATTTTCTTTCAACATTAATTTAAATTAGGCGAATCGTCAAACAAAATCAGTTGTCGTCGGCGTAACACGCCCACTCTCCCTCACGCCCACCCTCATCAAAGCCTACTATTTTATTTTCTTTCAACATTAATTTAAATTAGGCGAATCGTCAAACAAAATCAGTTGTCGTCGGCGTAACACGCCCACTCTCCCTCACGCCCACCCTCATCAAATCCTACTATTTTATTTTCTTTCAACATTAATTTAAATTAGGCGAATCGTCAAACAAAATCAGTTGTCGTCGGCGTAACACGCCCACTCTCCCTCACGCCCACCCTCATCAAAGCCTACTTTTTTATTTTCTTTCAACATTAATTTAAATTAGATTATTCGTCAAACAAAATCAGTTGTCGTCGGCGTAACACGCCCACTCTCCCTCACGCCCACCTTCATCAAAGCCTACTATTTTATTTTCTTTCAACATTAATTTAAATTAGGCGAATCGTCAAACAAAATCAGTTGTCGTCGGCGTAACACGCCCACTTTCCCTCACGCCCACCCTCATCAAAGCCTACTATTTTATTTTCTTTCAACATTAATTTAAATTAGGCGAATCGTCAAACAAAATCAGTTGTCGTCGGCGTAACACGCCCACTCTCCCTCACGCCCACCCTCATCAAAGACTACTATTTTATTTTCTTTCAACATTAATTTAAATTAGGCGAATCGTCAAACAAAATCAGTTGTCGTCGGCGTAACACACCCACTCTCCCTCACGCCCACCCTCATCAAAGCCTACTATTTTTTTTTCTTTCAACATTAATTTAAATTAGGCGAATCGTCAAACAAAATCAGTTGTCGTCGGCGTAACACGCCCACTCTCCCTCACGCCCACCCTCATCAAAGCCTACTATTTTATTTTCTTTCAACATTAATTTAAATTAGGCGAATCGTCAAACAAAATCAGTTGTCGTCGGCGTAACACGCCCACTCTCCCTCACGCCCACCCTCATCAAAGCCTACTATTTTTTTTCCTTTCAACATTAATTTAAATTCGGCGAATCGTCAAACAAAATCCGCTGTCGTCGGTTTATCAGGGGCGAGTAATTTACGTGAGAACTGGGGATGATGACTTGATGTCTAAAATGTCCAAAGAGATTTTGGCAAGGAAATTGTTTACCACTCCGAGTGTGCTCGTTGTATACCGTAGACAGATGCAAACTCAAGTTTATATACCGGCCTCGGAACTAAATTAAATGTTCACATGTCTTGACACACTTTTCTCGAAGCAATTGAAAACCAGAGCGCTTCTTCTTCTTCTTCTTCTTCTGCTGCTGTTGCTTCTTCTTCTTCTTTTTCTTCTTCTTATTCTTCTTCTTCTTCTTCTTCTTCTTCTTTTACCGCTTTAGGTGTCGAGGCGATGTAAGGTCCTGCTTCGTGCCTTTCTGGCTGCTTAGACTAAAGACGCATCGTGGTTGTGTATTCTCTGATGTTATCCTTCTATACTGTCTACCTCTTGCTCTACGTCCCTCTCTTCTTTTGGCATGGTTTAGCATCAGACGGCATTCTCTCCAAGTGGGCACACCATTTGATTTGCAGTCTTTCTATGTAATTCAGATTTGGTTCTGTGCCGACTTTTTTTTTTCGTATGACCTCATTCCTGATTTTATCTCTTCGGGTCACACCTACTGCCTTTCTCAGATACCTCATTTCCATGTTTACTATGTTTGTTTGTTTGTTTTAGTATCCAGAAGCCATGAGCTGTTAACCCTTAGGCTCGGTATTATGAATATCGCAACCTTTCGGCCTTGATTCCATTGTAAATACCGTAAATCTGGGAGAAATGTGGGTTTTCTGCCCACCCCCGGGAGTGAACCCGGACCACAAGGTGTTCGTCACCCGCTCACCGCGCAATCCGGTTTAGCCAACTACGCTAGAGAGACGGGCCCATGTTTACTAATTTTCTTCTATGTTTTGTTGTGGTAGCATATGGTGGGAATGAATATGCTTTGTATGAGATGTCTTTTTGTGCTGACTGGGATTGCCTTATGCTGTAAGAGGAATTGGAGGATGAAAAAGGGGAGGGGGGGGGGCGAGGGGGGCGGGGCTAGCTGTCCTGAAAGCTTTAATAGCTAGCTTTACTGCATCGAATGTCAATTTCTTCGTCTAATTTGCAGTCTTCAGTGACTGTTGTTCCAAGATATTTTAATTCATATGCCTGTTTATTGTATGTATGCTCTAAAGCTATGTTTAAATCCTGCTTCTTCATTCTGTTTGACATTACTTCTGTCTTTCCGATGTTGATTCTCATGTTATTTGATTTACATTCTTCATTCATGTATGTGAGATGCTGTTGCAAATTCATGGCTGTATCTGCAATCAAGACCAGGTCATTAGCAAAGAGTAATCCGTTGATGTTACTATTATATTTGTTCCTGGGCCTGGCATCTTTGCTTATACTGTCAATGTAGGTGATCAACAGGAGTGGTGATAAGACACATCCCTGTCTTACTCCAGATGTTACTTTGAATATTTTAGATGTTCCCTGTTTTATTCTAACTAAGCTTCTACAGTCGCTATATAAGCTTTTGCAAACTTCAATGAGGTGTTCACTTACTCCATATCGAGGAATAACTTTCCATAATTTTTGTCTGTCGAACCTGTCGAAAGCTTTCTCTTGGTCTACAAATGCTACAAATAAGTCTTGATCAAATTCGATGTTCTTTTCTGTTAGGTTTTTAAGCGTAAAGATTGCGTCTGTGCATCTTCTGTTTCTTTTGAAACCCATCTGTTCTTCTGTTAACTGTGATTCTATCACTGGTCACAGCCTCTTTTCTATTATCTTAGCATACATTTTCCCAACTTGACTTAAAGGAGAGATGCCTCTATATTGATTGCATTCTCGCTTGTTTTCCTTGTTCTTCCACAATGGTACAGCTATTGCATGTTGCCAGTCAATGGGAGCATTTTGTTGTACCCATGCCGTATTAAATATTCTATGGAGCTATCTAATGTTGATTTCCTCTGCTGCTTGGATCATTTCTGATTTTAACCTACCAGCCCCTCGTGTTTTATATTTGGGTGACTGCTTGATTACCTCAGAGTGCTACTTCTTTAAAATAGATGTTTGTTCCTAGTTATGCTCCTCAAAGAAACCCCCTTTTTCATGGCTTTTCACGCTGTACGAGAATCCCATTGCGCGTGGAAGAGATTTGGGCCCCACACGAATAGTACCTGAACTTTCAGCATCGTCAAGTGCCTTGAAGACTGGTATGGGCGATCATGCCTCTCCACAATCTGCGATCTGCAACTGCGTTTATCAGTTCTATACGATGCCAAAAGGCTGTCAAGAATCTTCTGACGTTGTCGTCCTCTGTCAATATTTCCACTTATCTTTCCAGTGGTTACAACATGTTACAGTTTCCCTTTTCTCCTAAGATGACCAAAATGATGACGTATGACCCGAACTATAGTTATGTAAAATAAATGTTATTCTTTGTTATTATCTTTAAAAAAAAAACGAGGGGCTGGGTGTTTTCGAGATATGGTATCCGCCTCGAGTGCTGGAGGTCCCGGGTTAAAACCCCGGTGAAGGGTAGTAAGATCGGACGCCCGTGTGTATTATTGCGCTCGTAAAAAATTCCTTGAAAATTGGCAATCGAAAAGAATAGCTTAACGGCTCTGACCGGGCTAAATTTGGAATTTAAAATCTACCCAAAGTATTTTAGGATCCTCGCCCGTGCAACGGAGTTCGTGTACTGCGCTGATATTCTTTGGACTAAAGTTTGAGTTAGAATGGAGCACTTATGGGTTACACACGAGTTTCATGATGTTGATCCATCGAATAAACATAAACATCTTAGAAAACGAGGGTCGTTTCCGTTTCTTTCTGATAAACTCGAGATATCTACTATAGAAGAGATCGGGGCCACAAACAACAATGAATGTATATATTCACTGAAACTCAGTACCTTAGTAGAAACGGCATAAATATTTATCTGTTCATAACTTTTAACATAATTATCGGAACTCATTTCAGGTGATCTCGCTGCTGTACCCTATTTCTTTTGTTTAAGCACATTGTTTTCATTTATTGTTTGATTTAAATTAAATAATTCGAAATGTGTTTGTAAAATCATTGTTGTATTTCAGACGAAACTACATTACAGATGAAACATGCACGATCTGCAAAACATTTCAACAAAGCAGCGTCTGAACGAAATATTGTATGACAAATAAACAAAAATATCAACAGAAGCGTTGAGGGTTTGTAGCAAATACGAAACTGCAGGCAAATCAGAATATAAGTTAGATTCTGTTGTCCCCAGATTTGGGTAGATATGATCTATCACAGTCAACAGAAGTTTCAAAGAGTTGATGATAAATGCCACAATGGCTAAAATGATAACCGTCTTCACAACATTTCTTTTCATAATAACAATATTATTACTCTTCGAAGTTTTCTTTGCAACAGTGTTGGGAACAATAGCCACACTTTGCTGAACATGATGATGGTCTGTCCACTGATTCAATGAGTGGCGAAGACCTCTGACCATGCTGTAAGTGCTAACGATGAGAATCAGTACACACAGTGACTCAACCGTTAACTGACAGAACATTTTGATAAGTAAATCAACGTAAGGTCTGTATGGTGATACCCATACAACTGTCCGTGTTTTGTTCGTTCTGGAGTCAAACTGGCTCTTGAATCCCATTGTCAGATGGTCAGGCATGGTGATAATGATCTCGTAAAGATAGATGACCGATAAAACGACGATCGCTCTTCTAAGGGTGAAAACATTAGTGAATTTGAGGGGCCATGTAACACACAGACATCGCTCGACGGAGATAAATGCTATAGTTATTGTGGAGATGTTGTAAAAGAACGCAGAGATATGAGGCAGCAAGGCAAAGAATTCAATCCTGAAGGCAATATTAGCAAATATAAACACTTTACTAAACAATGTCAGAACTCCAGCTGTTACAGACACTAGATTTGTTACAGTCAAAGACAAGAGACACACGCTAACGCAGTCATGCACTCCTTGTCTTATAAACACTGCAGCGCTCATCACATTTGTGATGGTTCCGAAAACTCCCACAACAGTTACCACGACAGTTCTGAAGTAAATATCCAAATACAGTTGTACTTCATTACTGATTATCTGCTTGCGTGGGGACGCGAATGAAACATTGGACAATGTCATTTTCAGGCTTGTAGTCTCTAAATAAAATAGTTGGTACATTCAAAACTGTAAACGTTCAGAGAAATACCCACTTCCTACCTGTGTGAAATAGATACACTTCAAAGGAGAAGCTAGTTGCAAATCCCTTTCAGCGTGTCAAAAGAAAAAGTCCCAACATTAGCTGGCTGTTTTTAGTTTTACACGGCAATTTTCTTTTGCTATTTCTGAATAATCCGAAGCTCATATTACTGTCAATCAACGCAAATCGACCACTACAGCTCCTAGGGTAGCAATGCGACAACACATCATGCATGTCTTAAGCAGTGCTTTTTCAAGATCAGGTGGTACCCGGTGTGGAAATTTCCTGTCACCCAACCATTACCACACACACACACACACACACACACACACACACACACACACACACACATATATATATATATATATATATATATATATATATATATATATATATATATATATATATATATATATATAGGGCTGTACCGAATATTCGCTTCGTATTCGCTTCGGGGCCGAATAGTGGACCTATTAGCTATTCGGTATTCGACAGAATAGTAGCGGTCGGGTCGAATACGAATAGTGATTTCTGCATACATGCGATAGACTGAAATAACTCTCTCAATAATAATGTCACAATTTATAGCCGACTTTTCTTGATTTTCTTCGCGGCACCCAAGGCATACGCACCCAGTTTTAGAACCTCTGCTGTAATGCCTAGGAGTCAGCAGGCGCTGTTACCACGCAACCGGGTCGCATTTTTAGGCAACGCTACTGTTGTGTTAAAGAAGGCATGAAGAAACTTGAAAGTGTATCTGTGTGTGTTATGTGTGTGTGTGTGTGTGTGTGTGTGTGTGTGTGTGTGTGTGAGTGAGAGAGAGAGAGAGAGAGAGAGAGAGAGAGAGAGAGAGAGAGAGAGAGCATGCCTTTTTTCGTTCTTTCGGGGTGTCTTTTCCCAAATCAAATTGAAGATATTGAGAACGAGAATATAGAGGTGCATTTAAATTACATCGAACGAACCCCTGAACGAACGATGATTTAAATGCGAATTTGGCACATGGATAAAATCAGATGAAAGATGCATTACTAAAATAAAAAACAAAATAGGACAGGCAAAAACTGCATTTATTTTAAAAAAAAAATATCTTATGCAATATATCTTTGTGTTGCTTGCTACATACATCCAGTTTTAACATATGGCTATGAGTCCTGGACAATGGGTAGCCAGGCCAAACAATTTTTTGAGGTCTCAGAGATGTGGTTTTACAGAACAATGCTTAAAATACTTTGGACAGCCTAAAAAAAGCAACCACTAGGTTTTGAAAGAGGCGGGAGCCCGAAGACAACAAATCGCAGAAATCAGAAGGAGACAGTCATCATTTTTCGGCCATCTTTATAAGAAAAGTGAAAATGGAACATGTGGTGAACCACTGGAAAGATTTGTAGAAGGAGAGATAAAAAAGACAACGAGAGAAGATTCTTGACAGTCGTGTTGCATGTCATGGAGGTGTGTCAGCACACGAACTGATACATGCTGCAGGAGATCGCAGATTGTGGCGAGGCAAAATCGCCAACACCAGTCGGCAAGCCACTTGACGATGATGATACACTATTCATATTCGTATTCGGCCGAATAGTTGGCCCCACTATTCGTATTCGGCCGAATAGTGAAAATCACTATTAGGTACAGCCCTAATATATATATATATATATGTGTGAATATGTTTGTTGGTGTGTATGTATATATATATATTAAAAGCACATTTCGTTTTTTTTTAACTTCGTCACCAAGTTCAGTGATGACACCCTGGACGGCCGCACCACTCGTAGCTCAATAACCCACTTTCCACGCCACTGGTCATATGGGGCAACTGTCATGAATTCACTGATATCTCTCAAGGGATAAAGGAAACTTTAGCTCCAAAATGGAAATAAAGGGCCCTTTACCCCACATTCAGGCGAATTGGACATATAGTGCTAGATCTATATTTTATAGGCCAATAGACACACGACGAGTAAGATGGTCAACATCACGCCGGTGTCGCTTTTACTTCCCATGATTTTATTGCCTGGTGCAAATTGAAGGCGGGGTCATGTTTTGAAAATATCCTGCTCATGCGGATTTGAACCGACTATCTTTGGATCCGCAGCCTAGCCTCTAGCCGCTACACCACAGGTGTGTGTGTGTGTGTGTGTGTGGGGGGGGGGGGTTCTAATTTTTGGCCAGACATAACTTCTTCATAGGAGTAGGTCTGCGTGATTTAAAGGCTGAAAAAGAACACGGTCTTTATTTTTCTGTTGTAGCCAAGAGTTGCCATTTATATATTATCACACTCGTGTACTTTCCCATTCATCGTGTTTGCTGCTGGAGTAAAACATGTAAGTACATTGACTGTCAATAAAAAGGCATTGTGTATCTAGAATATGTCTTCACGAAACTCATTTAATAACATTCGATGTGTCTGATGGCATATTTAGCAGAATTATTTCTTTAGGTTTAGCTCATTCCTTGATTGCTTTTTGCTTGTGCATTGACGCTGTTAATACATTGCACTAGCGCAGATTAGTTGGGGCTTTTATGTGGGAGACCTGTGAGGCGCGAGAGATTCTTTTTTCTTTCTGATGGGGCCTCATTAAAGAGTATAGCACTCTTTTACAACCATACTTAAAGGATTGGTCAAGGGCAAGAGAGCAAGAGATGAACGAAGTGCTTCCGATCAGACCGGAAAGACAGGGAAAAGTGTGGAATACTGACTCTAGTAAGGAACAATATCACTGCGTGCCAGACTGAAGTATATATGGATGGAGCAGAATATCAGATTCTAAAACTGCAAACTGGAAATGCAGACTTCTACCTGAGCAATTATTACTGCCCAAGTGATCGTCCCCAAGCACTAGACACAATCCCAGTAGAAGCATAGATAATTCTATGTGGAGACTCTTACAGCCACTCACAAAGCTGGGAGTACGACCACATAGACCAGAGAGAAGAGAAACTGGAAGAGTGGCAGGATGAGAACAGACTTGTTCTGATTAATAGGCCAACTGATCCACCCACATTCTACTCGAGGTCGTGGCACACCACTACTACCCCAGACCTAGCATTTCAATCTCCAGATCTAGAATGGAACATTAAACGAGTTGTTGGAAAACAAATGGGAGGCAGTGATCATCGACTGGTCTTCCTGAATGTAGAAAAGGTCAGAGAAACGAGTACGCTGCCAAGTTGGAAGGCTGACGGGACAATGTTCAAACACCGTACCAGTATACTACTTGGAAATCTCAGCGTAGACCAGGATATAAACAAAGTAGTTACAGAATTTAACAAATGCGTACTACAGGCAGCAGGAGAATCAATACCAAGAGGTGCCCGTAAGCATTATAAGCCATACTGGAATAGTGAACTAGAAAATTTACACAACGAAGTGGAAACATCTAGAAAGAAAGCAGAGACCAGGCCAAACCAAGAACATCACAATAACTACTAGCACGCAAAAGCAAAACTTGTTAGGGCAAAGCTGCAGGATAGAAGGGAAAGCTGGCAGGAGAAAACAAGGTCACTGAACTTTGAAAAAGACACAAGAAAGTTTTGGAAGCTTGTAAAACAAATTAATGATGAGGACACAGGGTGGAACTCAAAGATCACGCTGCTGAAAGAAACATGGTCACAGGAAAAGAGGCAGCCAATCTCTTTGCAGACACTTTTGCATTAGATAATGACATTGAAATCAGTTCGGAGAATAAACAAGAAATTCAAGAAAAAACACTATTCAGAAGTCAGAAAGAAATAACGTCGGACGCGCTAGAGGTGCCACTTACACTTAATGAACTGGAGTTGGCCATTTCAAAGCTGAAAATGCGGAAGTCACCAGGAGCAGATGGTGTATCTAACGAAATGATCAAAAACTTAGGAACAGTTGCCAAAAACAACGCTTTTACAGATATTTAATGCTTGCTGGGCAACAGGAAATGTTCCACAGATCTGGAGAGAGGCAATTATACCCCTCATAAAGCCTGGGAAAGACAGTTCCAATGCCTCCAACTACAGACCGATCAGCCTCACAAGCGGTCTCGGCAAAACAATGGAGCGCATCACCAACCTCAGACTACAATGGTACATTGAAAGTGAAAACATCATTACACCACAGCAGGCGGGCTTTAGAAAGTTCTACTCTACGGAAGACCAGACAACATACCTCTCCCAAGAAATAGAGGATGCTTTTCCAGATAAGAAACTGGTACTCGCGGCATGGATAGATTTAAGGAAAGCCTTTGACAAGGTTTGGAAGGTGGGGCTTTTGAAGAAATTGGGAAACTATAAAGTAAATGGAAGAATGTACAATTGGATTAAAGCATATCTACATAACAGAAGAGCCAGGGTACAGGTAGATGGTTTCAAAAGTAACAACGTTCTACTGCGACATGGCGTCCCTCAAGGTGGTGTCCTGTCGTCCACACTTTCCTCTTATTCATCAACGACCTGGTTGCTGAAATACCAAATGGAATCAAAATGGCAATGTATGCCGACGACCTGGTACTGTGGTGCACCGATGAACATGCAACGATAGCCACAAGAACACTACAGCGGGCTACATATGCATTTGAGGCATGGGCGATTAGATGGTGTGTAAGCATCAATACAGACAAATGTAGCACCACACTCTTCACTCTCTCCGTAAAGCAAAAAGCAGGCATCATCAAAATTAACAGAATACCACAAGAGATGATAAAGAGCCCACATACCTCGGAGTCACATTTGATGACAGGTTGACATGGAGAAAACATATCAACAACGCAACAACCAAAGCCAGGAGGAAGACAGCAATACGAAGAAAACTAAGTGGAACCACATGAGGAGCCATTGGGAAAATACTCAATAAAGTATACAAGCAGAGCAAACAACCACACTTGGAATATGGGTCAACTGCATGGTGTTCAGCATCTAGTACCACATTAAAGGAATTGGACAAAGTGCAAAATCAAGCACTCAGAGTCATCAC